CGCAATTGTCTTCTACGTTTTACGATAGCACGTGTCCGAATGCACTTAGTACTATTCGAACTTCTATTAGACGAGCTGTATCGAGTGAGCGTAGGATGGCTGCGTCTCTCATTCGTCTCCATTTTCACGATTGCTTTGTTCAGGTTAACGATAAATTTATACATTTAAAATTGAAAACATGACTTAATTCTTGCACGAGGGGCCGTGTTGAAGATTATATTTAACTTTTTTTCTTGTGTTATTAGGGATGTGATGCATCGATACTATTGGACGACGCCCCTGGCATTACAAGTGAGAAAACTGCGGGGCCTAATGATAATTCGGCAAGAGGTTACGAAGTCATAGATTCCGCCAAGAGCGCGGTAGAGAATATATGCCCCGGAGTTGTTTCTTGTGCTGACATCCTAGCGGTGGCAGCGCGGGATGCATCTGCCGCGGTGGGCGGTCCTTCATGGACAGTGAAGCTTGGGAGGAGAGATTCGACTATGGCAACCCGATCACTGGTGGAAAGTAATCTTCCTAACGCTCGGGACGACCTCCGGACACTTATATCCACCTTTAGTCGCAAAGGACTTAATGAAAGAGACATGGTGGTTTTGTCAGGTAAATTATACAGCTGCTTCTTGAAATATATGTACTAGCTAATAGACTAAGTCGAGCCTAATCATATTGAACTACCTATTGGACAGGTGCACACACAATTGGGCAGGCACAATGCCGTCTATTTCGCGATAGAATCTACAGCAATGGAACAGATATTGATGCCGGTTTTGCCAGCACCCGTCGACGCCAATGCCCTAGAAATGGTAGTGACGGAAATTTGTCACCACTCGATTTGATAACACCCAATTCATTTGATAACAATTACTACAAGAATTTAATCCAAAGAAAGGGTTTGTTAGAATCAGATCAAGTTCTTTTCAGCGGAGAATCGACTGACAGTATTGTGAGAGAATATAGCAACAATCCTCGTACTTTCTCATCGGACTTTGGTGCAGCCTTGATCAAAATGGGAGACATTGAACCCCTCACCGGTCAAAATGGGATCATAAGAAGGATTTGTATTAAGACATATCTATGTACTCTCCGGTTGCATTCTAGTGAGAATCATTGTCCATTTCCAACGTTAATTTCCTTTTTAGTCCACATTAAATTGAGTAAAAGGATAGATTTATGGGTTCTGAGTGGCTCGACCACGTATATATTTTGTTTTTTGTGAAATCGGTTTGATTTTATAAAAATTAGGAAAAATAAAATTTTAGTTTAGACAAGTCAACTTACGCGGTCCTTAAGTCTGGTTGCTCTAACTCTGTAGAGATATAACGAGCCCTCAACATTCTAGGCCACCAATATTAGGTCGTTGTGTCCCTAATGACGCACCGCCATAACCTTTAGGTAAAATAATCTTACAAATTAACTTAATTAAGAGTTCATAGAATGGATGAAAATAATTATGTTACATTGTATTTATTATTTTTTTTTTTTTGGAAGATATCCTTTTTATTTAATAATTCATCCAATATACCAAACATGTCAATAAATAAATAAATAAATCAACCGCGTCTTTTATTGATTTATATGCAAATTTTTTGCACGAGTCAAAAACCCAAAAGAAAACACTTTCGTTAAAGAGCATTAAGGTTTTTATTATACATAAAATAATTGATTAGATCATAAGTGCACACCAAATTCCCCCGTTAATAAATATTTGTACGAGAATGGTAAATATTATTCTAAGTTGAGGTAATTTAAAAAAATTTAGTAAAACAAGAAATGAGCATTTACAATAATTAAAATAGTACAACTCAAGATCAATTTCTTGAAAATTTGTCAATAATTAATAGATTATACTACGTTTTTTTGTCGATAGTTCCTTTTGATTAAACACCACGCTATAGGATGATTGTAATTCCCTTACAAAGTGTCACTTGCATTTTCAATAATTTCAATCACGGTATATGATGCTATTGAAGTTTCTCACTTCAGACAGTCAATCTTCACAAAGTTTAGCATAATTTGCCCTTATGTTAAGAAAAACAGATAGAATTTGACCAACCATTACAGAAAGTACAAGCATTAAATGTGAAAAAATTTTGAGCTAGAACGCTTAGATATATTAGAAAGTTCGACTAACGTGATACAGTATCAAGTTCAAATTTTATGCGTAGTTTACGTTCTAGATTTTACTTTAACCAATTTGACCTTATGTGCGGAATTAATCTAACTAAAGTAACAAGTCACTTTAATTAGTTTGTCTAGGTGATTAATCATACAAGTCAATTAACCTATGTTGGAATGCCGCAGTTTGTATATTTTGCAAAGCAGTAAATAACAAGCAATATGATGACGGAGAAACCTTAACGTGAGTAAAACTCCGGGACCAAGCTAGTTACCTCCTCTATACCAATTCAGCAAGTACAAGTTATACCAAACTCCGTACCCAATCAGACCCGTTGTTCCAGTCTCACGATCTACTGTTGTAGATACTTCTAGCCTCTTGCTAGATTTCCTGATCTACCTCTTGCAGCCCAATCTGCTGTCCACTACAACCTTCTTGTCCTTAGCTGATTGTATCACCAAGTGGAACACCAAGAACCGTCCGTTCTTGTGCTTGTAACTTCGCCTCAATCCACCTCTCTTATCCTCCAATGAAAGAGTCCCTTCCTCAATAGATTAAAGAAGTAAGGTGTTTTGAGTTATGTAGATTCAATATTTTTATCTAAAACAATGGTTGCCGGATCACAAGATTGATGTAGATGAAATTTCCAATTAATTACACCTTGGATCTCTTCAAAAATGTTATGAATATCTTTTGCAATGAAAAAATAATGTAGCAACCTCTTTAATTTCGTCTTAGGGTTTGAGTATTTATATTTGAAGGTGTCTAAGTGGTATGGACCGAGTAAAACACTTCAAAAATGCGAAATAGGATTTTTGCCACATAGGAGTGTCGCTCGACCGAGAGCCAGCTAGAATCGAGCGAGAGGTATTCTGTTTTTTTTCGCTCGAGCGAAATGCCAGCGAGAAACGAGCGACAGTGAGCAGTTGTCAGTATTTTTGTTATAACTTTCTCTTCCGATATTCGATTGAGGTGATTCAAGTTGCGTTGGAAAGATAACTCAAAGGGATACAATTCTTCTAGAAATAGCCTTGTCTAAATTCCAACGTTTTCTATGTGAAAATGCGTTACAAGTTATGACTAAAAATCTGGAACATAATTTGTGCGGCTCTTTGATTTCCTTTAGACTTCCAATTGCATTCCCATGATCTTGTGTGATCTTCTTAAACATCTTTGATTCCTTCAACGACTCGAACACTAATTTACCTCATCTATACAAATTGCACCCTAAGTCTCTGACTTTTACACCAATGTTCAATTAAATCCCTAACTTTTACAATTATACAATTTAGCTCGTTTTGTCTATAGAATCGCCAATTACACTTTTAGACCTAACAAAATGCACGAACACAAGATTGCGGGAAAATTCTGAACTTTATTTTCTGTAAAACAAAGAAAACTTGTTTACAAGATAGCAAACGATCAACATACTATTTTTGTTGCTTCAAACTCAAAATTTATAACACCAATCGTATTCTAGTTGACATCCCCATGTAGTGCTATCATTAAGTAAATTCCGCATTGCATGGCTTCAGCTCATATCGAGTACGTGCATTCCTTGTACATCCGTGCAAACTCCTCGTATAATCGGCCAAATACACACATTTAGATAGTCACTATAACTTCTTACTTTACCTGAATTTCTAGGTGAGCCATAGTGCAGTTATTAGGTTCACACTTCTAGCAGTTGAGTGCACATATTACTTCCCGGCTCGACTCATCCCCCAATTGGTGGTTCCTTAACTTAGTGGAGAGACACTTTGAGGGTTTATTTCAATCGTTTCAATTAGACTCCACTAGTCCAATCGAGCCGCATTGGACATGGGGTATAACAGAATTATATATATAATTGTGGGGGTGTTCGGGTCAGTTTATGCACACCTCAACTAATCACATGAGGTCTTGAAATATACAATTGGGTACTCACCTCAATAGCCTTGAGGGGGCTCGAATTGGTAACAATTAACGAGCAAACTTAATATTTGACCACTGAACTATCCCTTAGTGCTAACAAAAACAAATATGTATAACAAAGTTTTGTTAACTCAAGTGGAATCTATAAATGTGTAGACATTACAATAAGACAGATGTGTATCATAAAATAATTAACGTTGGAGACAAAATAATATTATACATTTTAAACATGCTATGTTGAATAAGAAAAATAAAACACAGAAAATAATCTTGTACAGATTGATTCAATCAATAGCTTTTGAAAAAGTGGAAAAACATCCGGAAGTGGGGAAAGGAGCCGCACTACCATTTGCGGGATCCGACGCTACGGCATTGATGTCATAAAATTTTGAAAATATTTTACCTTATAAATTTTCAGAAAATCCTCTTGAAAAGGTATTTTAAGATTAGATGAAGATTGATAATCAAGTATAATGAAGCAGGGAATTTAACTGTTAGGTCACTTGTCGAGCAAGGATAAAAGACGGAAATTGGATGGTAGAAGGACACCTATACATCTTCATCGATGATATTTTTTGATCGAAAGACTGAGAGCTAATGTCAAGAATTTGCAGTCTAGAACGACTATTCAAAAGTTATTTAAAAAATCTATTGGATTCGAAAAATCAAACTTACTCTATATTTTGAAATATTAATTTAATTTAAAGGATTTTTTGGAGCACAATTTTAAGGCTTTTTTTTTAAATGGAGAACGTCTTATATTTAAAAAATTTCTGAGAAAAAAAATACAATAATAGCAAAGTTTAGAACGAACCAACCCTCACTCTTTTGTTACGTTCTTAATTGTTGATTGTTAACTTCCACATTAATAATTTCTTTTTTTTTTTTGCTCATTATGATTTCATATTAGCAGTAAATAATGTCAGAAAACTAATAAGGTAAGTGTATCATTTGCTTGTCAGATAAATCAGCATTTGACTCGTTCCTCACTCATCCCACTACTCGGGACTTCACCGGTGGAAGGAGCTTCACCGTCCATCGCTTTTAACAGCGAGCACTCCTCCGATGTAGATGGTTGCGCCGTCGTGATGCAGGCCCTATCAAAAATAAAATGACACTGCCACGTAGGATATTTAATGCTTTATATCTAGAAAGTGGAACCCACCTTTTTACTTTTCCCGGTACGAACCGCTCTACTCATTTTTGTTCATCCATCCCAACTCCCACGTGACCTGATTTTTATCATTCTAATTAAACAGTTTCTTCTGTGGCCACCAAATCATAACAAGACACGTGTAAACTGACAATGAGATTCGTCTCCTTTTCATGCATTGTACGCATGAATAACATTATTTTAAAAATTAAAAAATTTAATAATTGTTATGTTAAATGAAAAGAAAATCTATTACACGTGGCAAATGATGTTACGGGAGCAGCTTGTTCAGATGAGAATGTGATGGTTCTGCCATGTAAGCAAGGGATGTTCATGGCCGTTGGATTGAGGATTAGATCCAAAGGTGATGATTGAGTTTTTAAATGATAGAGAAATCGGGTGTCGTCCAGTCCGGTTCCTGAGTAGGTTTCATGTGAGTTAAAAAGCGGCAATAAAATATTATATGAGACTGTGAGAGAGAGAGAGAGAGAGAGCACCAAAAGTGTAGAGCAGAAACAAAGTGAAAAGAGAAATTTCTTTTCAACAAATTCAGTTTCATTTCTTTAAATCTCAGAACTGTTCCTTTTCGTCGGTGAAAATAGTTGTTAATCCGACTATGAATTTGTGAATTTTCTCGAGTCAGAAATTGAACGAATTTGATGGAGAATTTTTTGATACTGATCTTTACATTTCATCTGCCTTTTATACACGTGGGATCTATACAAGCATTTACATACAAAAGGAATATTCTAATTCCACTAACTTCTGCCATGTGACATAACCGTATTTGTTCCACCATGCACAACAGATTCAGTTAGTCAGCTCCTCTTTGCTGTTATGTTGGTTCGAATATTCTAACACCCCCTCCTCAAAGTGGAGTGTGTTTCTACCACTCCAAGCTTGTCTCTAAGGAACAAGGATATTGAGTGAGCAAGCGATTTTGTTAGCAAGTCTGCTGTCGGTTATGATGATGGCACATAATTAATTTTCAATTCCCCTCTAAGAACCTTGTCTCTTACAAAATGAACATCGAGTTCTATATGCTTTGTACGTGCATGGTAAACTGGGTTGAAGCCAATGCACTTGTACTTAGATTATCACACCATATTATTGGGGTAATCCTCTGCGGTATTCTTAACTCATTCATCAAGGATTAAATCCACGTAATCTCTGACGTACTATGAGCCAATGCCCTGTACTCTGCCTCCGTGCTTGACCTTGCAACCACATGTTGCTTCTTCGAACACCAGGACACTAGGTTATCTCCAAGATATACACAATAACCTGCAGTGGATCTTCTATCATCTAGGCATGATGCCCAATCAGAATCTGCAAACGCTGTTATGTCTAGGTTATCACTCTTTTGAATGGCAAGGCCATGTTTTAGTGTTCCTTTCAGGTATCTAAACACTCTTTTGAGTGCCTTCCAGGGAGCATTACTTGGCGTTTGGAAAATTTGGCTCATTTTATTCACGGAATCAGTGATATTAGGTCTTGTATAAGCTAAATACTGGAGGCCACCGATAGCACTTCTATACGAGGTTGGATTTTCCAAAGCATGTCCCTCAGTCTTGGTTATTAACTTCTCAGCTGCCATGGGTATCAAGCTTGGTTTTGGATTTTCATACCCAAATTTTTTGAGTAGGTCAATGGCATATTTTGTTTGAGTCAAATATAGTCCTACTTTGTCTCTAAACACTTTTATACCCAAGAACTGGCTAAGGTTTCCCATATCCTTGAGAGCAAAGTTTGTGTTCAGATTATCAATAAATTGCCGTAATTGCTAATTGTTGCTTCCTGTTATTACTATATCATCCACGTAAACAAGTGCAAACACTACATCCTTACCATTTACCAAGAAAAATAGTGAGTTGTATGCCTTGGACTGTTTAAAGTTCCATTTCAACAGGGTACTTTTTAGCCTTTCATGGCATGCCCTTGGTGCCTGCCTTAATCCATACAATGCCTTCTCCAATTTGCACACAAAGCTGGGATTTCGTCCATCTACAAATCCTTCTGGTTGATGCATGTATACCACCTCATTTAGCTTACCATTTAGAAAGGCATTATTCACATCTACCTGTCTAATATTCCAATCCTTTGATACAGCAAATGTCAGGATGATCTTCAATGTTGATGCTTTGATAACAAGGCTGAAGGTCTCGCCAAAATCTACTCCAGGAGTTTGTAGGAACCCTTTGGCAACCAACCTTGATTTATGCCTTTGTACTTTGCCCTCTAAATCACGCTTCAACTTGAACACCCATTTGCTTCGAATTACCTTTATTCCAACTTCATGAGGTACTAATGTCCAAGTTTTGTTTTTCATCAGGGCATTATATTCTTCATGCATTGCATTTCTCCAAATGTCATTCAGCATTGCATCACTAACAGCTACTGGTTCAGTTTCTGCTGATTTGTCCATTCTTTGGCTTGTCTAAATCTTTGGTCTGAAAATTCTTGCCTTGCTTCTAGTGACCATATGATGTCCAGCAGTTTGTTTTGCAATTTGATCATCAACATCAGCTTCATTTTTAGTGTATTTAGTTCCACATTCATTCTGTTGAACATCATCAACCACCTGATCACCTAATTCATTCTGATTTATTTCAGTATTATTCTTCTCTTCAACTACCTCAACTCCTACTCCAGCATCTAGTTCTCTACCAGAGGAGCCTACTGCAGTTGATGCACTGGGACAGATTATATCAGCTGCACCTTGAGGTATTGTTTTATGACTAGACTCAATGTTAAATGGAAGTAGACTTATGACAAATTCTGAGGTTTGTGGTTGAGTCAGTTTTTTTAAGAATCCTGACTTGAAAGGAAAATCTAGTTCATTGAATATGACATATCTAGATATATAAATTCTACCACTAGAGCTTAGGCACTTAAATCCTTTGTATGAATCACCATAACCAAGAAAGGCGCATTTTCATGAATGGAAATCAAGTTTGTATTTCTGGTATGGTCTGAGGCAAGGGTAACAAGCACATCCAAAAAGTTTGAGTGTTTTGTAATCAAAGTTTCTTCCATACAACGCTTGAAAGGGAGACTTGTATTGTAATATAGGTGTGGGTAGTCTGTTGATCAAGTATGTTGCTGTTTTGAAGAACTCCCACCAGTAATGTAAGGGCCTTTGAGCCTGAGCCAAGAGTGCTAGGCCGGTCTCAGTGATGTGCCTCTGTTTCCTCTCTGCCCGACCATTTTGCACAGAAGTATAAGGGCAAGAATGTCTAAGTTCAATTCCAGATTCCAAGGTAATTTTATAAGAGTTCCTGAACTCACCTTCCCAGTCAGATTGAAAGATTTTAATCTTTCTCTCAAGCTTATTTTCAACCAAATTTTTGAATTGTGTAAAGATGCTTAGTGCCTCATATTTGTGTTTCATAGGGTAGATCCAAGTAAACCTGCTATGATCATCCACAAAAATGATATAATACCTAAACCCTGAGGTATAATTCTTGGGAGCTAGTCCCCAGATGTCTGTATAGATTAGGTCCAAAGGATTTAATGAATGTGATGAGGACATGTGAAATGGCAATGCATGGGATTTGCCAAGTTGACATGGTTCACAGAAAGCTGGAATTTCATTAACTTTGGTGGATTTATTTCAAGACTTCAGGACTTGACTCAACACATGATTTGATGGATGACTTAGCCTTCTATGCCATATATCAACTTCAAACTCTAACTCGACTTCTTTGGTTGACTCGTCACAACTGGAATTCACTATAAAGTAGTTGGAATTATTCTGGTGGCTTGACTTTGGGTTTGGTGCCTTCAGCTGATATAAACCATCCTTAAGCATCCCTTGCAGCAGGGTCTTCCTGGTTTTCAGATCCTTCACAACACAATGGTCAGGAAAAAACTCAATGAACACATTGTTATTATATGTAAACTGAGATACACTGATTAAGTTCTTTTTTATTTCAGGCACATGTAATAGTTTATTCAGTGTAAGAGTGTTATCTATTGTAGAAATACTTCATTTCCTAATATGTGCAATTTCTAATGAGTTTCCATTAACAACTAGCAATTTCTCCTTACCATTATTTTTCTTAGTTATGCCCAGGTTACCTTTATCTACTATAACATGGTTGCTGGCACCAAAATCAGCAAACCAAGCTCGATCTTCGATGATTCTCGGTGTAGCAGCATATGCAGAAGGAGTTGAGGTACTACCTTGATGGTTTTGATTGCTAGGTCTGCTCCCCATGTATCTGTCATCATACCTATTAAAACACCAACTAGCTGAGTGGTTATTCAATCCACAGATTTGGCATGGTCCTTGATTTTCACTTGTCCTGCCTACTCTTCATCTGCCTCTTGTTCTTCCTCTGAAGTTTGTGTACTTTCCACCACTTTCAGCTCTGAAGGTTCTACCACCACCTGATCCAGACCTTTGAGCCAACTGTACACTTGAATGACTGACATTCAAAGATGCTAAGCCATTCTTGACTTGATTAAGATGTTCAAGCCTGCTTTCGAAGGTCATAAGAACTGATGACAGCTCATACCACTACATATCATCCCTACTGTTCATTTGCACCACAATGGGTGTGTATTCTTCATCAAGTCCTGTAAGAACTTGGGTTACAAGATCACTATGATCCACCTTTTTTCCTGCTATTTGCAGGTTATCAGCCGGCTGCTTAATGGTGGTAAGGTACTGATCCATAGTCATAGAGCCTTTTCTAGTTCTCTGCAACTCTCCAGTGAGGAATGTCACTCTTGATCTATTCAATATTTCATAGCTTTCTTTGACTGCATTCCACAAACTACTTGAGCTAGTGCATTCCATGATCCTCATAGCAATTTTAGGGGTCATGGATGAATACAACCATCCTATGAGTAACTGATCAGTTGACATCCATCTACTGTAATCTGGATTCTGGGTCACTTTTATGGCTTCTCTTGCTTTAGTAGTAATCTGGGTACTAAGGAACTCAGGTGGACATTGTTTTGTTCCCAGCAAGTAGCCTTCAAGATTGTGGTCTTTGATTATAGGCATAACCATATTCTGCCATAAGAGAAAGTTGTTTTTGTCAAGCTTTACTGATGGAGTTTCTGTGGATGATGAAGGATTCAACTCGGTTGAAGGAGCTTGAACACTAGAACCGGTGCTAGCCATTTTGTCTCTGATTCCAAGTCAGAAATTAAACGAATTTGATGGAGAATTTTTTGATACTGATCTTTATATTTCATCTGCCTTTTATACACAGGAAATCTATACAAGCATTTACATACAAAAGGAATATTCTAATTCCACTAACTTCTGCCATGTGACATAACCGTATTTGTTCCACCATCCACAACAGATTCAGTTAGTCAGCCCCCTTTTGCTGTTATGTTGGTTCGAATATTCTAACATCAATAAGAGAAGCAATCTTATAGAGTTATGGAAAGAAACAGAGATTTGAGGAGAGTGAGCATGGCTGTTATCAATTGGGTACCAAGAGGACAATACAAAATCAACAGCATCCGTGATTCACATGCTTGGAAAAATCAATGAAAATAAACAATATTTTGATATATTCCTTTAACTTTTGGAGATTTTTGTTAATGATTTTATTTGTTTGTTGTTTGGGGCAGATGGACAAGTAGAATTACTAGAAAAAGTGTACAGAGATAAAAAAGCGAGGGCAAAAGTAAAATAGGGGTCGAGAAGGTTCGAAGAGAAGAAGATTTGAGAGAGATGTTGTACACCATCGAAGAGCTGGTGGAAGTAACGGAGATGTGGGGACTGGAGGTGGTGATGCGGATTGCATGGATGACAGTTGGGAGAAAGATTTTGAAGAGGAAGATAATGGAAAATTTCTTCTTAATCAGATGGATCACACGGTGCCATCATCTAATGATCAGAGTCAGCAACAGAGTCTTTGATAAGGTCATCGTCAGCATTGAGGATCTTCGACGACATTATCGGTGTTCCAATCCCCAAAACTCAGTCTGGTATATTATTAAGGACACCTGAAAATTATTACTATTAATGAAATGGTTCGATTGAATAATTATGTAATTATTTCAATTTAATATGGTTATAATCAATTGATTTTCATTTTTAAGCTTCGTCAAAAAGGTTGTACGAGTACTGCAATCTTGGGAGTGGAGAATCCAGGAAAGACATAAGTCGTTGAAGATTTTCTCCGTCGGAAGGTGGTGACATTGTTGCGCCATTGTCTTTGGGCGTTTGTTTGAAGGAGAAGATGCTCGGCTTTTCTGTATGGATTTTTCTTTTTCATGAGAATTGTTTTGGTCCTCATAATTCAGTAGCTCACATCTCCAGTTGTATTTAATGAAATTAGCAGGCGGAGATTTCTTGATAATTTTGCAAAAATCATTGGGCCATTGATAAGTGTGTTTTTACACACTTATTTAGCTTACAAACATGACTTAAACATGGACAAAGTAGTTGAATTGTGACTTAATCTCGTTAAATTCATGCAATGTAGGTGTTTCTATGGAAAAGATGGAATTCAGAAGAAAAGAGCCGAAAAAGGACCAAAATGGAACAAAGTGATAGTTCGGGGACCAAAGGTGCAACTATTGGAAAGTTGAGCTAAAGTGCAGAACGAGAATGAAAATATGCCAAGTATGAGATTGAGGACGATACAAGACGATCGGAGGAAGAAAGAAGTAATATTGGACTGAATTGAAGAAAAGTGAAAGATGAAGGACTAAATTGCAATTAATCAAAAGATGAGTTGAGCAAGTGATCAGGGAATTGAT